AGGACGGTCCCGTCTGTGACGACCTCCCGGCTGGCGCGGGCTGGTCGATGTCGGAGCCGGCCCGGCTGGTAACACCAGGCCGCTATATGTGAGCACCGGGCTACCGCGGCACCATCACAGACTGCCCGCCTCTGTCATCATCATCACAGGCGACAGAGACGAAGCGGCAAGCAGGACACAAGGGCCAGCGATGCACAGCACGCTAGTATGCAGCTCAGAGCTACGTGAGCCATTATGCCTGCCGTTGCTGGCACGTGAGGTGACCGTGGCCCCTCAGGCTTCTCGTGGCTGCAGAGATGGCGGTGGCTGATTAGCTGGTCAGTTCATCACCACGTTCTGCCGGCGGCGCATGCCATCGAGCCGACCAGCCAGTCAGCCAGTTAGCCGCCAGTCCACGGTCAGCCAGTCAGCCAGTTGGTGAGTTAGCTATTCCGCCAGTTAGCTGTCAGCCAGTCAGCCAGTCACCAGTCTGTGAGTCAGCCAGTCAGCCGTCAGCCAGTCAGTCAGTCAGCCGTCAGCCAGTCAGTCAGTCCGCCGTCACCCAGTCAGGGAGTCAGTGAGTACAGCGGTCGGCCAGTCAGCCAGTCGGAGTCGGAGTTAGCGAGTCGGTGAGTCTGCCGGTCAGCGAGTCAGCGAGTCAGCGAGTCAGTCGTCCACGGGAGGCTCGTCGGCGGGACACACGCCAGCGGTGCGGCACAGGGATAAAAACACTTAGCTAAGCAGGCAGCTACTGCCGCTCTGGGAACTGGCGTTAACGATAATGCCTGTCGTGTAAAGGACGCCGTTGAATTAGGAGTGGATAAGCCGTGTATCTGCAAAACGTTTGCTGTTTGTTTCGTTTTCCGCTTCAAGTTTACGTCAGTGTTCAACATCGCACACGTTTGAATACTGCTAATGACGTAATGCATCTGTAAACGGTAAATTGACGGCCATATGATCTCATACTCCCCATCTCTTCGGGTTTTTAGTCTTCAGAATCTGAAGACATCGCAAAGACAGCTGCATTGGGAAGCGGCAATGACCTGATGCGTTAGAAGCTGAAACCCGTGTTTCAATTGCGACAAGAACGCAAACTCGGTGAGCAGAAACTTCACTTCCATGTGCTCCAAGATCTAAAACTTCCAGGAGATACCTAACATACAAAACTGGAGAAAGCTACCTAAGTGACTAACCCTTCCACTTTATGTGCTGGTCTATATGCACGACTGTGTGTGTGTGTGTGTGTGTGTGTGTGTGCGTGTGTGTGTGTGTGTGTGTGTGCGTGTGTGTGTGTGTGGTGTGTGTGTGTGTGTGTGTGTGTGTGTGTATGCGTACGTGCGTGCGTGCGTGTGCGCGTGCGTGCGTGTGCGCGTGCGTGCGTGCGTGCGTGTGCGCGTGTGTGTAGCTGGGTGCGCCCCTGGCCTGACTGCGTGGCCCGACCGGGATGGGTCACGTGACGCAAACCGCAAAGCGCGCGTCTCCAGCAGCGGCGCTCACGGTCTAACCAGGCAAGGTCACGTGACCCGAGCCGCAGCACGCGCGCCGTGCGTGTCCGGAGCGCCAGCCGGCTCGCCAGCGACGCCCATGGCCGGACGGATGGCACCCTGGCCCGCCGCTATATCATATGGTGTCGCCGCACATACACCAGTCGTATAGTCTGGGTGACCAGATGACTCACCACACCCATGTTCGCTTGGTCCACCCACCTCCACGCTGTGAAAGACCTCACTGACCGGCAAAGCCGGCTGTGGTTCAGGCGTTCTTAAAGAACACAGTGGCCTTCCAAAACGCTCGTCCACTTAGTGCTTTTTATCAGTTTCTAAGTGAAGATGAGGTATGGCTTACATGAAAAAAATATTGATAATGAAGTGCTGGCACTTGCTTGCCAGAGCACTCCAGTAACTGTGTATGCGTGATGGTGTGTGTACTTATATGTTTGCGTGTGTGTCTTTATTGTTTTGAACCCATTGACTGCGTCCGTAATCGGGCATCCACTGAACTTGTGGACTGCTTATATGAGATAAATAAATAAATAGATGTGTTTGCTTGCCCATCACAGCTCTTTACTGAAGCTTTCGCGTGAGACCAGAACAGGAGACAATATGTCAGTTGGGAAATCATCCACAAGTGGCCATTGCTTTTATGCCGACATACGTGACGTATGGATGCCACGATTTAACTCCGCAAATTTTGCGGGGCACATTCACGCCTGTTTACCGTCAGGCTGCGCTAGTGTAATTGAACCAGGGCAGGGTCTATGCTGATAATGAATGCCTTTTATCCGTGGAAGCGCTCTTAAGGTCGTGAACGCCGATGTGTACACCTGGAATCCGAAGCCAACGGCTTTGCAGCGTCGGCAATCAAACCCAAGCCTCCTCAGCGGCAGGCCAACACTCCAACCTTTCAAACACTTACCACTGACAGTCTGTAGCTTGATCTTAACCCGGATGTGCATATGCACGCCTGGTTTGCAATACACACGCGTAATCTAACCGCGCGCCGCCGCATCACCGCATCACGCTGCAGCTGCTATCCGACACGCCGGCCGTTCCACTCAGCCCTGGCCGCTACTGGTGGACCGGGCTGATCGGCCGCGCCAGGCCAAGCAGACGTGTGGTCCAGCATCGCCTACCCCTCCCCACCCTCTCTCACTTCATCACGTGCGGCCGCAGCCGAAGTTCGGTAGGAGGATGAGAACGCGGCAAACAGGCAAAGAGACAGAGGCAGCCTCTGAGGCAGACAGAGGCAGAGGCAGACGAGGCAGAGAGGCAGATGCAGACAAGGCAGAGAGGCGGAGGCAGACGAGGCAGAGACAGAGGCAGACGAGACAGAGAGACAGAGGCAGACGAGGCAGAGAGCGCGGCAAACAGGCCGAGAGGCAGAGGCAGAGGCAGACGAGACAGAGAGCGCGGCAAAAAGGCAGAGAGGCAGAGGCAGAGACAGACGAGCACAGAGCGCGGCAAACAGGCAGAGAGGCAGAGGCAGACGAGACAGAAAGCGCGGCAGACAGGCAAAGAGGCAGAGGCAGAGACAGACGAGCAGAGAGCATGGCAAAAAGGCAGAGAAGCAGAGGCAGAGACAGACGGGCAGAGAGCGCGGCAAACAGGCAGAGAGGCAGAGGCAGAGGCAGACGAGCAGAGAGCGCGGCAAACAGGCAGAGAAGCCGATGCAGAGACAGACGAGCAGAGAGCGCGGGCAAACAGGCAGGAAGGCAGAGGCGGACGAGACGGAGAGCGCGGCAAAAGCACGCCCGTCGGACGAACTCTGCTCATTAGACGCACCACACACACTAAAGCGATCCATCTCTTGAGTAAACTCGGCAGCTCCCAAAAGGCAGTGCCGAACTTGATAAGGTGCTTCGACTTTCAATGGGTCCTCGAGACGCGAAATGGCACACAATCTAAGACCAGTTCATACAAAGAGAGCGCGCGGTTTCACGTAATTCGCCCAAATCAGAGTTCCACTCAACACCTCAAGCGGCGTGAGGGGTTACGGTTGCCGAGTTATCGCTGAATGACAAAACATTTGCGAAACGAAAGACTTGCTCATGACCACGTCCTCCAGATGAGCTATGATCCGCTCATCATAGAATAAACAAGCATGTCATGATCACATATGTATTTCAATGCATCACCTGGAAGAACCCAATATAAATACACAAACTCACAAACGTATAACTGACGCTGGTGACTTACCCTGCCGCCCCTCTCCCTCCCACTCCCTCAGACCGGTTATCACGTAACCACCGGCGAAAGGACTTTAGTCGCCAACGCACTCCACCAGACAGCCCCAACGCAGACAGCGGGCTACAGCACCGTCCTGCGACGGCCGAGCGGTGAGCTGGGGCGCGTCTGGAGCCGTCTCTGCTTGCCGGTCCGAGCCCGACAGCGGCTCGGGAGAGGGACAGCAGCGGCCGATGTGGCTTATCCATTCGCCACCGATACATCGCCACCAATTCGGGCATTTGGCAGCAGGCTAGCGACATGGGGCGCGGATTATGCTGGATACGGCCACGCCACACGCAGCACGGTAGCGGCGGCGTTATCGCCTCAGGCAGTCGGGTGTGCGCCAGATACACCCGTCCGCTGACGAGCCATGGTGGCCGGCCGTGTAAGACACACTATCCTGCCGGTCTGACGTCAGCCGGCGCTTGCCGCTCGCCGCATCAGATAGACTAGTGAGCCGGTGCGACGCCAGTGACGCCGCGCCGAGAGTGGGCTGCGGATGGGACCGGGCGCCGACTCCCGGCCGCCGCTGGTGTGCTCGGCTGAGGAGCACCGCTGACGCTGCGGTGTTCGGAGCTCCGCGGAGCTCCGCGGAGCTCGGCTACCGCGTGCCGGCGCCAGACGGGCGGCGCCGAACACGGACCCGGAGGCGGTGGTTCAGGCGCCTCTCCAGTGGTTTGGGCGGTAGGCACCGCTCCGGCCGGCGGGGAGGCATCGCTCCGGGAGGCGGGGAGGCACCGCTCCCGCCGACGGGGAGGCACCGCTCCGGCCAGCGAGGAGGCACCGCCCCAGCCGGTGGGGAGGCTCTGCTCCGGCTGGCGGGGAGGTACCGCTCCGGCCGGTGGGGACACACCACCCGACCGGTGAGGAGGCACCGCTCCGGCCGGCGGGGAGGCACCGTTCCGGCCGGCGGGGAGGCATCGCTCCGGGAGGCGGGGAGGCACCGTTCCGGCCGGCGGGGAGGCACCGTTCCGGCCGGCGGGGAGGCACCGTTCCGGCCAGCGGAGAGGCACCGCCCCAGCCGGTGGGGAGGTGCTCCGGCTGGCGGGGAGGTACCGCTCCGGCCGGTGGGGACACACCACCCCGACCGGTGAGGAGGCACCGCTCCGGCCGGCGGGGAGGCACCGTTCCGGCCGGCGGGGAGGCATCGCTCCGGGAGGGGGGAGGCACCGTTCCGGCCGGCGGGGAGGCACCGTTCCGGCCAGCGGAGAGGCACCGCCCCAGCCGGTGGGAGGCGCTGCTCCGGCTGACGGGGAGGCACCGCTCCAACCAACAGGGAAGCACGCTGCGGCCGGTGGGGAGGCGCTGCTCCGGCTGGCGGGGAGGCACCGCTCTGGCTGGCGGGGAGGCATCGCTCCCGCCAGCGGGGAGACACCGCTGCGGCCAGCGGGCAGGCACAGCTCTCGCCGTGCACCGGCGCCTGTACACACACGCCCGACAACACCAGGCGGCTGGCGCACCGGGCCGTGTTGGCTGGAAGCGACACCGGGCAGCAGCGGCAGACGGAAGACTACGGCGGTCAGCCGGTGAGTGTCACCCGCCAGCGGCTGCAGATACACGACTCTGACAGTCAACCCGCGCAGCGCCAGCGGGCCGCAGAGGCAGCAGCGGATGCGCGGGTATGGCAGTCCACCGGCGCACAGACGCCGAGGACAATGCGACTGGACGGCAGATAGGCCACTGTGGCAGACGCGCCTGGCCGTCACTGCCCCATCGCGTTAGACGGGCGGCCGAGGCACACCGTCACCGGATGGAGAGGCCGTACTTGCTGGTGACCTCGGGGCACAGCACGGAGGCGGCCGACAGCAGCAGCGGCACGTCGTTTGAGTCCACGTCCAGCACCTGCGGCGCGGAGGGGCAGCGGTGAGGACGAGAGATGGGACGGGAGCCGGACCCGAAACCAGCCGACATAGGCGGGGAGCCAGGACGATTGATACAGCCCGACACCAGGCGGGGAGCCAAGACCCTGACACAGCCGACACCAGGCGGGGAGCCAGACGATTGATACAGCCGACACCAGTCGGGGAGCCAGACCCCTCTGACACAAGCCGCACCAGGAGGGGAAGCCAGACGATTGATACAGCGACACCAGGCGGGGAGCAATACCCCTGGACACTAGCCGACACCGGGCAGGGAGCCGGACCCATGAAAACAGCTGGCAGACAAGGCGGGAGCCGACTTATGAAACAGCCGGCAGACCAGGCTGTACCCCTGGACACAAGCGACACCAGGCGGGAGCCGACCCCGACGCAGCCGAAACATACACCCAGTCTACGTAGGCCAGAATAAATCGCTTCGCCACATTACACAACGCCGCCGCGATACATGATCTGCCAACCAGCCAGTCACACAAACGCGGCAGGCGTGCGTGTGAGAGGCATGACCGCAAAGCCGGGCACGGTACGAAGCCGGCCGGGGACACGCGTCTCACCTCCGTCACCTCCCGCAGCGTGGTCAGACTGCTGGTGATCAGGAACTGGGCCAGCTCGGCGGCGCGCGACGTCACCAGCGCCAGCTGACTCTCCAGGTGGTGCAGCACCAGCGGGGCCGGCGCGCCCGTCTCCTGCGCACCAGACGGGCGGCGCCGGTCAGGGCGGCGGCGGCCGGTACAGAGGGGCGGCGAGTTCGGGGCCCGACGGGCAGGTGACGACACGACAGCCGTTGCGGCGACGGGTCAGCCGGCGCGGTCAGCGGTGGGCTCAACGGTGCCGCGCGTCCACCAGGGTCACCAGCCCCCCGGCACATGACACAGGTCGACACACGGCGGGACCCAGCCGACCACCGGGGTCATCATACCACCGGCACATGACACGGGTCGACACACGGCGGGACCCAGCCGACCACCGGGGTCATCATACCACCGGCACATGACACAGGTCGACATACGGCGGGACCCAGCCGACCACCGGGGTCCATCATACCACCGGCACATGACACAGGTCGACATACGGCGGGACCCAGCCGACCACCGGGGTCATCATACCACCGGCACATGACACGGGTCGACACACGGCGGGACCCAGCCGTCCATCAAGATCACCAGCCCACCGGCACATGACACGGGTCGACACACGGCGGGACCGGAGGATCGGCCGGCCCCAGGGTCGGAGACGGGCTCGCCTCTGGCATGGCGGAGTAGAAGCTGCACGGACACCGCGTCAGCTGATGCGGAGGTACGTACGGATGTCCGCTGATTCCCACAGCGACGGATACACTGATTATGAAGAGAGCAAAGAGCAAGTAAGATTCCAAGTGTGATCAGACCATGTGTCGCGCTTTTCCACCAACAAAGCGGCCGCTTTCCGCTTCACTCCGCTCTACGGTCTCTAGCTTTCTGCTGTTCAGTATCAGCATTCGCTCGCTCCCACCGTGCATTCTGCGCAGTGACACTCTAATAAATCCGTGCTTTCTTCGTCGAGATGTGGACACATCGCGAACGCGAGCAGGGTGAGATTAGGCAGAGTGGCGAGCTGGGAGCGCTGTACGCGGTGAACGGAGCGACGGAAAGCTCGCGCCGCGGTTCGTCCGCCAGCAGCGGGACATAAGTGTCGTGTGTGTGTGTCGTGTGTCGTGTGTGTGTAATCACGTCCACATCAGCAAGGCGGAACATAAGTGGCGTACCAATCGTCCACATCAGCAAAGCAGAACGTAAGTGTCGTGCCATTCACGTCTACATCAGCAAAGCAGAACATAAGTGTCGCACCATTCACGTTCACATCAGCAAAGCAGAACATACGTGTCGTACCATTCGGGTGTACCATCATCAGCACAGAACATACGTGTCGTATCATTCACGTCCACATCAGCAAAGCAGAATATAAGTGTCGAACCAATCACGACAAGAGCGGCAGAACCGACCTGTGAATTATGCAATCAAGATCATATGGGGAAGTATGCCCGATATATTCATAAAGGTGTTACACTACCCCATGCTGCAGGGTTTCCAGGGCATTATTACCTAACATTCTGGTTACAGGAGTGAAATGTCTTACATTTTTTGAGTTAAGAGTGTCCATCTTTGGGGCATGCTTCAAAAATATACCCTAATAAAGCCTCAGCACCAGTTACGTCTGATAACAGCGTTGCGTTAATCTATCAACAGCGCTGCAGCACCATCAAGACATAAAAGGCTATTGATTTTGATAATTTTCCAGTCCAAATTGCGCTGTCAACGCTCTGCGAAAACAATACGCTTCTTCTTAGCAGTTGCAGCAATCGCTGTTGTCATGACAACCGCCGTGACACCTCCACCGGTGCGAAAAAAGAGCGTTTGTGATTGGTCTGGCAGGCAGCAATCGCCTACTACCGAGAAACGCATCGATTGAAGTCTGAACCAGCAAGCCATTACGGTCATGTGATACTCCCATTCCCAAAGCCAAAGTGCGCCTTGAAAGGAGCCATTGTGCTCAACGCCATTGGAAAGAAATCACAGCCATGGTATAGCGTTTCGTTGAATTCGCCGGATAATACCTTCATGTTCGCACAATTAATTGCCGAAGCAGATTGTTTTAAGCCTTCGTAGCAATTATTACATAAACAATTAGACGAATTAGCGTCTTGCAAAACTTAAAGAGCACACGTTGGAAAAAGCAAGGCAAATGAAATGCATTACTTCCATCGAAGTGGGGACGGAATCCAATGAGATTTCTACTCCACAAGCGGCCACTTCAAATCGAACTCCCGAGTTATTCAGAAGAAATTCCAGAAACTGGTATCACTGATCAAATCGCACACACTTGATATAACAAGAAGTGAAAAGTACAAAAAGGCATGCTCCCTTTAAAAGGTCTAAATAAGTTTTTACGACGCTGAGGGTACACACAAGCTGCTTTCCAGTTGCACCCGCAGGCAGCTTGTGACCGCGTCTGGGCTGGGCTAGGAGGGGAGGGGAGGGGGAGGGGACTCACGTGAACCCGGCAGACCGACTCGACCAGGGCGGAGACGAGCGGCGAGAAGACGACGCTGAGACCGCGGGCGCCCGCGCGGTCCACCAGGAACGCGTGCGACGACAGCACCTCCACAGAACTGAAACAGCCGGCACGGCAGGGTGACGGCAGGAGCGCAGCGAGTGCACCGTCCGTCAGGAAGCAGCGGGGACCGGTCCCATCGGGCGGCAGCAGGTCACGTACCCGTCCGTCAGCGCCAGCTCCCACCCGGTCCCATCGGGAGGCAGCGGGTCGCGGACCCGTCTGTCAGCGCCAGCTCCCACCCGGTCCCATCGGAAGGCAGCAGGTCGCGGACCCGTCTGTCAGCGCCAGCTCCCACTCGGTCCCACCGGGCGGCAGCGGGTCACGGACCCGTCTGTCAGCGCCAGCTCCCACTCGGTCCCGCCGGGCGGCAGCGGGTCGCGGACCCGTCTGTCAGCGCCAGCCCCCACCCGGTCCCATCGGGAGGCAGCGGGTCGCGGACCCGTCTGTCAGCGCCAGCTCCCACCCGGTCCCATCGGGCGGCAGCAGGTCACGGTCTCGTCTCCCCGGCTGTGACGTCACACTCACCAGGCGTCGGTGTCGGCCAGCACGCAGGTACACTCCTCGCCAGCGCACGTGGCCGCCTGCAGGTCGTGGCGCAGGCGCGACTCCCATGCCTGGCAACACGGAGCCCGTGTCAGAGGCTGGACACACGGGAGCCCGCATCAGACAGAAAACAAGCTGGGCGAATGTCAGCACCGAAAAACTTACAAACGGGTGCCAATACCCGAAAGCACGCTGCGCGGGAGGCTTGTTCTATGGCACACGATGACGGCGTCCGTATCACCGAAACCGGCTGTCCGAGAACACGTCACGTTGATGAGTGCCAGCAAAGGCAGTGTTACAGTCAGTGCGAGAACACCCAGCGCCGGTGCTAGGGAGCACGGTGCGCGGATTCCACGCGTCAGCGAACACGAGGCCGAGTCGCCAAACACACCCAGCGCCGCTCCGCACACGCGACGTCTTCCCCGCGATCGCGATGCGGTAAAGCCTGCCGCAGTGAAGCACCATGTGACGTGACAGGAACCGAGGTGGTGTGACACGCCTCCAGCTGCTGGGGTTAACACGCCCTGCCGGCCGCGACAGGCGACGGATCGGGCCGAGGTCACGCTCCACCCGGCCAGGCGCCGTCCCTGCCCCTTCTCCGACAGATCAGGTCACCCCGAGTTTTGCTTACTGTCATGTCCACTGTCATGTCCAGAAGCATCGGGAGGTGGGTCAGATCCGGGCGTCACTGCCCTGTCCATTAGCATCGGGAGGTGGGTCAGACCCCGGCGTCACTGCCCTGTCCATTAGCATCGGGAGGTGGGTCAGATCCCCGCGTCACTGCCCTGTCCATTAGCATCGGAAGGTGGGTCGGATCCCGGCATCACTGCCCTGTCCATTAGCATCGGGAGGTGGGTCAGGTCTCGGCATCACTGCCCTGTCCATTAGCATCGGAAGGTGGGTCAGATCCCGGCATCACTGCCCTGTCCATTAGCATCGGGAGGCGCTGGGCGCAGTCATCAGCCACCGGTCATCGCCGTTAAAGCACCGCCAATCAGCTAATAACGTGACAAAATTCTCAGCCTCTCAAGTATGAACGTTGCTACTATTCCCATCAGCCTGCGTTCCCGAACGCAATGCCCTCCACGACCGGACAGATTTAGATGGGAAAAGTAGGTCTGGAGCGGCGACCGTCGAGAAGTTTGACGCACTCAGCAGCAGTATGACGTCAGCAGACGGACCTCCGACGCGAACATCATATAGCCTGGGGCTAGGTGTGCGCGTTCAACACGTACCACAAATCACTCAGGCAAAAGGCCATTACACCTGACGCTAGAACGCTCAGATGGCAGGCAAGTACACCTGGTTCCAGGACGCTTAGGTAGCAGGCAAGTACACCTGGCTCCAGGGCGCCAGACTGGGAGTCTGTTTTCGAAGCCGGGCGCGCCTGGGCGCCGTTTCAGCGTCGTCACGCTCGGCTGGGCGTATCGCTCGGCCCGAGCCGTTATCAGCGGCCGCGCAGCCGGCGGAGCATCGGCGACGAGACGGGCGCAGGCGTACGGTGATGACGCCCGCCGCTGCCGCCGCCGGGGCCGAGGCGTCACCAGTCGGCGCTCTGTACAGAGGACGTCCCGAGCGTGGCGTATGGTGATGACGCCTCACTGCCGCCGGGGCCGAGGCGTCACCGATCAGCGCTCTGGACAGGGACGTCCCGAGCGGGGCATGTGGTGACGACGCCTCACTACCGCCGGGGCCGAGGCGTCACCAGTCGACGCTCTGTACAGAGGATGTCCCGAGCGTGGCGTATGGTGATGACGCCTTACCACCGCCGGGACTGAGGTGTCACCAGCTGGTGCTCTGGACAGGGGACGTCCCGAGCGTGGCGTACGGTGATGACGCCTCACCGCCCCAGGACGGAGGTGTCACCAGTCGACGCTCTGGGCAGACGGCGTTCCGAGGGCGCTCCGCCGACGCTCCAGGGACGCCCAGAGCCTGCACCTGCTGAGCGTTTGTCTGGGCCGATATGACAGCTGGATTCTGACCTGAAGCCTAGCCGTTACCAACCCCTAACCAGCATAAGCCTGTCCCATCACTTAACAAAGGACTTTTACATCTCCATTCTATTCTGGGCCTCAGCTCTCCGACGTAAGCGCCTGCTCGGGGTTCAGTGTCCTCCGACCCACACATCATCAATGCAAGATTCACGTACGCATCTCAGGGCTTTCAGCAGGACGTCTCGTGCGGCGTGGGACGAGCAAGGTTAGAGCAGATTCGAGAGCTGTCCGATATTGTGGAGATGATGTCGAAGACACTATGCTGATCGGGCCAGGCACCTTCAACCATCGATGCTGATGGGGCCAGATACCTTCAACCATCGATGCTGATGGGGCCAGACACCCTCAACCATCGAAGCTGATGGGGCCAGATACCTTCAACCATCGATGCTGATGGGCCCCGACACCTTGTAGCTGGCACATTCACCTCCTCCGTGCCGTCAGCTGAGTTGTGGCTGGCACATTCGTCTCCTCCGTGCCGTCAGCTGAGTTCTGGCTGGCGCATTCACCTCCTCCGTGCCGTCAGCTACACCTCTTTATCCACTCTTCATCGCGTGACGTCTGCACGCATTAACCCACACCTGTGCCAGCACCACTGTCCGTTTTCTGTCGCGATCTCTCTCGTCCCGTGCCAGTGTGACGTAATGCTATCAAGGTCTTAGCCTGGTTTGATCTTAAGTTCTTCAGTTTTTCACGAATTAAAAATTGTAATTTTTTTAATTAAAAGGGGTATGAAATCGTGGTGATATTCCGAGTGACGGGAGAGCCAGTGTGATCAAATGGCTTCAATGTCGATGGCTTACAACGCACACCGCACAGCATCTAAAGCACCGGACTTTCTTTCGCTGCCAACGCAACTTTCAATGAGTAGTTACAAATACATCAGCTCCAACACACATCAGCTTCCAGAGCGCGTAAAGGCCGAGCCCGGCCGGGCCGTCTCACCTAATTTGATCTTGTGTCATGAAGGCCCGGTCTGCCTGCAGCCTCGCGCGTGACAAATGACGCCCCAGCACATTAATCCTAGCTCTTGCAGTTCGGGACAATTTCATGCCTGCCGATAGCGCAACGTACGCTATAGGACAGAAATTCCTCCGCGAGCAATTTCTTTCCAAACTTATTCAAACTGTGGCACCATGCGGTATTACTAAGTAGACCTGGCATGTCACTGTCGATGATAATGCCAGTTGTTCATGCGACTAGCCTTTTCATTTTAACTGAAGCAGAATTGCCATTTTCCCAACTGCAAACATGCGTCGTCTATCATAACACGCCGCAGCTTCGTGCAGTGTACATGGTGAACGCATAGTTGCAAGGCGAGTTTCTGTACATTATACATGGTACATATTGTTGAACGAAAGGCGTTATCCGCGGTCACGGTCAAAAATCGTCCCTGAAAGTATCTAAAAAATATCAAGAGGCAACACCGCGTGAGGCAAAGCAAGACTTCACATTAGCACTTTACATTAGCTTCACATTACCTTCACATTAGCACATGCGCCGCTTTTGCGTTATTTTCGCGGACGGTGTCAACATATAACTGCAACAACAAAAAATTGAGGGGAAGGCAAGAGAGAATGGCACAAGTGACCATTGCCGTAAAAATTGTAAACGCTTTAGGGGTGATAGAGACCAGTGGTCTACAATCCATTTGCCTGACAAATAAACAGTGAATACGTGATTGGCTGTGCTGCTTCGACAGCGCTGTCGCACGCTGTTCCCAGCGGTGTCAGGAAAACCGCTGCACAAACCACACATACTAGACGAGGGCTTCAAGACGTGGACTTATTACAGGTCAGCCTCGTGACGTAAGATGCACCATGCAGTTGAAACACTATGCACCAATCGATCCCCGTTCTATCTTCGGGCGAAAACGTTGCTTAACGCAAAACTATTCGACTTGTTTGGATCATTTTTTGAAGATTTCTGCTTCCACTAAAAATACGATTTTGTATTTGCCTATGCAAGTGAGATTACAACGCAAGTAATAACAAGTTAACGAAAAAAATTGCAAAAAGGGAAAGCTGGAAATCCCCGAGTGTGCGGTGGCCCGTGTGGTCCCAATCACTTGAGGGAATTGGCCCGTGTGGTCCCAATCACTTGAAGGGATTGGACCTGTCAAATGTCTTCTAAATTTTGTTTTCCTCCGTCGTAAAAGTCTGATTACGAACGACTGTTTTTCAACCCCACCGAAGCCCCAGCGCTGGAATCCATCGGTATGTTACCGAACCATCGAACGTTCCTTCATCCGTTTGTCTCCGGCAGTACCTCGTAACGTTACGAACCTAGGCGTGTATATAATGTAAACGCCACTTGTGGGTCTTCCTTCCCCCCCCCCCCCCCCAGAACTCACTTAAACTGTGCAGAATTAATTAAGCGCAACGAGGAAACTCCTCGTTAAAAGATGTCGCATGGGTCGGGTATTTAATGGGGATGTCGCAATCTATGTTTGGAAGACCTTTATCCTTCACCCTCACTGGCATTCACAAGTACTGCCGCGACGCTCATCAGTCCGTAAATGTTAGAAGATGGTAACACGGATCCATCGATATCCTACCGAAAGCAGTACTAAGTCGGCAATGGTAGTCCCACCCTTAGCTGGTTGCCAGCTGATCACTACGGCTAAAGGCCAGCCGAGTAGGCCCTCCCTCTGGGACCCACAGACTGCGCCTCTGGTCCGCCAGTCCCCACGGCGGCTCCTCGGCTCTAACCCGTTCAGTGGCGTTCCCAGACGAATCTCTGTGAGCCGGCGCCCAATAAACCCAGCGGCGACGCTTATTGGATAGGACGCCGCGGCGGCGCGACGGGTGCCCCTGTCAGCCCGATACAGTGGTGTGGGGCGCCGGCCAGTCCAGAGAGGGCAGCACCATCGTCAGCAATGTGGCCCGGTCTGCCCGATACAGTGGTGTGGGGCGTCGGTCAGTCGGGAGATGGCAGCACCATCGTGATTGGTGTGCCCAGGTCCGGCGGCGGGCGGAGCTCACCGCACGCGTGTCGCAGCCCCACAGCGGCATGTCCGGCACGTAGGTGGCGCCACCACCTCCCAGCGACGCCCACGGCGCCATGTACTGGCGGCCTGGTCCGCCGCGGCCGGTTTCCAGCAGCGACATCTAGCGGAAGATATCATAACATCACCTTTTCGACATGTAACCAGGGTCGTTCCCCACACCGGAACAACGTAGAGGGCAACATGGCACGCATTTCCGATTTTATGGTTCCGTTCGTACCAAGAGCGCGCAGTGTCGGTATGGACTTCAGCATAAATCTACACAGGCAAAGCTGTTGACCGTACCACCACAACCGTTCGCCATTATGACTGATTAATAACCACACGTCAGGACAGCAGAAACCCACACAGTGATCTCCTGAGCCATGGCACTGGCACTGTCTCCGGAGCCGCCTGGCGGCCGCGGCCTGCCACTGACCTGTCTCCGGAGCCGTCCGGCGGTCCGCGGCCTGCTACTGACCTGGCTTCGGAGCCGTCCCGCGGCCCGCGGCCTGCCACTGACCTGCCTCCGGAGCCGTCCGGCGGGCCGCGGCCTGCCACTGACCTGTCTTCGCTTAGCTCCGCGGCCCGCGGCTGCTCTGACCTGTCTCCCGTAGCCGCCTGGCGGCCGCGGCCCTGCCACTGACCTTCTCCGGAGCCCCCCCCCCCCCCCCCGGTCCGGCGGCCCGCGGCTGCTACTGACCATGTCTCCGGAGCCGTCCCGCGGCCATCGGCCCTGCTTACTGACCTTCTCCGGAGCCGTCCCGCGGCCCGCGCCTGCCCTGACCTGGCTCCTATCCGTCCGGCGGCCCGCGGCCTGCAACTGACCTGTCTCCGGAGCCGTCCGGCGGCGGCCGCCGGCTCGGAGCAGCGGCACAGTTTGCAGCGTGCCGGCGGCGCCTCCGGCTGGGTCAGCACCGAGACCGGCGGCGACGGCGGCGTACCGTCCGACAGGTGGCGCGGCTTGCGGCCGGCCCGGCCCGGCGGCGGCTGGGAGAATCTGACCGGCAAGGAGGAGGGTCAGCGGAGCAGGGTCAGCAGCGGAGGAGGGTCGCCGGCGGAGGAGGGTCACCGGCGGAGGAGGGTCAGCAGCGGTGGAGGGTCAGCAGCGGTGGAGGGTCAGCAGCGGTGGAGGGTCAGCAGCGGTGGAGGGTCACCGGCGGTGGAGGGTCAGCAGCGGTGGAGGGTCAGCAGCGGAGGAGGTCAGCGGCGGTGGAGGGTCAGCGGCGGTGGAGGGTCACCGGCGGAGGAGGGTCAGCAGCGGTGGAGGGTCAGCAGCGGTGGAGGGTCAGCAGCGGTAGGAGGGTCAGCGGCGGTGGAGGGTCAGCGGCGGAGGAGGGTCAGCGGCGGTGGAGGGTCAGCGGCGGAGGAGGTTCAGTGGCGGAGCAGGGTCAGCAGCGGAGGAGGGTCAGCAGCGGAGGAGGGTCAGCAGCGGTGGAGGGTCAGCAGCGGAGGAGGTTCAGCAGCGGTGGAGGGTCAGCAGCGGTGGAGGGTCAGCGGCGGAGGAGGGTCAGCAGCGGTGGAGGACCGTAGCGGAGGAGTGTCAGTAGTGGAGAAGGGTCAGCGGTGGAGGAGGGTCAGCGGCGGAGCAGGGTCAGCAGCGGTGGAGGGTCAGCAGTGGAGGAGGGCCAGCGGTGGAAGGTCACTAAGAGCTTAGGTCAGCCGACTGACCCAAGCCACTGCCGGGGGCAGAGTCACCTCGAGCTGGGCCAGCCTACTGACCCCGCACGCAGACGGTCGGCAGGGCGGTCTTATGGAGTCACACCCAGCACCAGCCCGGTCCCGTCCCGTCCCGGCCAAACAGTCACGATCAGATCTCACCAGTGACTCACTGTTGAAATCGTGCCCACCTGCTGGGAGCGACGGGCTTGTCGTGGCACATTTCATTTAAAGGGAGTGTCCAGCCTTTATGGCACTTTTTTAATATCTCGAGAAACCTCAGGACCAGTTAGTCTAATAATAGCGCTGGGTAGTGCCACTACAGCACCGTTAAGAAATGATAAGGATAAGAATTTCAAGTTATTTTCGAGTCCAAGTTACGGTGTGAACGCTTTGTAACAGCACTTCGCTTCATCGCTGCAGTCGCGACCACCGTCATCATTGACAATCATCGTGCACACCTCTACTGGTGCGAATAAAAGCACGTTTGTGATTGGCCCAGCATGTAGCAAGGGCTTGTTACCGAGAAGCGTTGTGGTTAAGTTTGAGCCAGTGCGCCACATGGATCATGTGATACTCTTATTCTCAAAGCCAACGTGCGCCTTGACAAGAGCCACTATGGTGAATACCATAGCGCAGAAATCAAAGTCATAGTTCAACGTTTCATTCAATTCGCGTGATGATAGCTTCATGTTCGCGAATGTGTTTGTCTACATGGTGTTTTAAGCCTTTGTAGCATTTATTACGCAAACATTAGTGTGGTGCACACATTTCATTTTCCCACAGGGTCGGTCACTTCAAATCGAAATTCTGAAGTCTTTCGAAGGATTTCGAGAAAACTGGTACTACTGGTCAAATCGTGCGCGTCCGATGTAACAATAGGTGTAAAGTACAACAAGGTGGGATACCCCGTTTAATACTTAACATCTTCTTTATCTATCGCCTTCTTGTACACCGACGTCGAACATTTTCAGCAAGGAAACTCAAATGCCGAAAAACAGAGAATATCATCATTTCCTATCATTCGTTGGTCTGATTCCCTATTACATTATCATTCCCTATTATTTTTCATCTCGATTACATAAAGTATTACTAGTTGCTGTCCATCGCCAACCTGAAATCGTTTACAAATCGTGGCGGCATGTTCAAGCTGGCTTCCATTTCACCGTGATCGAATCAATATTCCACGTCATCTTCCTCCCGATCCAAAAAGACATAACGGAGCTCGAAGCCGACGGCAGGGTGCCAATAGAACAAGCTAGGCAGAAGGCCAGTGCGATTGTGCAGATGTGAAGAGCCTTTAGAACTGCTGTCGAGGTCCACGCACCGCAAAGGAAACGCAAACGCACGGCCAAAACAATGCAGGGAAGCAATGACAGCAATCGGGATCGGAGCATCACGACGACCCAACACGGCGCGGAAGTGGCACGTGGTTAAAACGTGGCCTGCATGTCTGCGATGAACCTCTTGAACACGACGCAACTGTAGAACTATCGCGTAGTTCCACACTGCGTCCAATAAGAGGAACAGAGAGCATCCACTTTAAGTGATGTGTACACACATGCGGCTTTACCTTAGCTTCCTCGGGCCCATTACATGTCATAAGCCTGGTTATTGAGGGCACGTACCTGAAGGACCTGTAGGATATTACCGCAACTGCCTCGGGCCTATTACATGTCACAACCCTGGTAAGTGAGGGAGCGTACCTGAAGGACCTGTAGGGTATTACCGTAACTGCCTCGGGCCTATTACATGCCGCAACCCTGGTTAATGAGGGAGCGTACCTGAATGACCAGTAGGGTATTACCGTAACTGCCTCGGGCCTATTACATGCCGCAACCCTGGCAGGTGCGGGAGCGTACCTGAAGGACCTGTAGAATATTACCGCAACTGCCTCGGGCCCATTACATGCCATAACCCAGGTTAGTGAGGGAGCGTACCTGAAGGACCTGTAGGGTATTACCGTAACTGCCTCGGGCCTATCACACGTCACGACCCTGAGTGGTGAGGGAGCGTACCTGAAGGACCTGTAGGATAATACCGCAACTGCCTCGGGCCTATTACATGTCACAACCCTGGTAAGTGCGGGAGCGTACCTGAAGGACCTGTAGAATATTACCGCAACCGCCTCGGGCCCATTACATGCCGCAACCCTGGTTAGTACGGGAGCGTACCTGAAGGACCTGTAGGAAAATACCGCAACTGCTTCGGGCCTATTACATGTCACAACCCTGGTTAGGGAGGGAGCGTACCTGAAGGACCCGTAGGGTATTACCGCAACTGCCTCGGCCCCATTACATGTCACAACCCTGGTTACGGAGGGAGCGTACCTGAAGGACCTGTAGCCGCGCAGGTAGTGTGACGTGTCTCGGATCGAGTCGCTGTGGCGTCGGCTCAACTTGGTCGTTGATGACGTCACTGGTGCACACTCGTCCAGCGGGTCTCCGGACTCTAGCATGATTAGACCGGAACAACGCTCACAGCCTGGGGAAACCGTGGGCAACGTCACTGGTGCACTGTCCTCTAGCGAGTCTTGGAACTCTGTCATTACCAGAACAGATCAGCACTGCAATGTCAGATCAGCACTGCAAGAAAAGCCTGAGGGGAGCAGTGGGTGACGTCACTAGAGCGGACCCTCGTACTCCAGCATGACCAGACCAGCACAACATCCACAATCTGCCACCAGGGGGTAACGCTAGTAGTAGTCTTCCGTCACAAGTGAGGGTTCCAACGCCTGGCCCTACGGCGCTACGAGGAGGCAATAAAACGCACGTACAACATCTACCGCCCCATAAATATCTCCCCACCCACTCCTGAAGAACTCAAAAAAGATTAGTAGACGGGCGATAGCAAAGCATCGTTCATCGTACCGCCCCTTCACTTCGCACAGTGTGTTGCGTGAATCCACGTCCATGTCGCAAAGGCCAGGTCCATGCTAGTTCGAGCTAGTTCCATGCGACGAAAACAAGTCCAAAAGGCGGCCAATCCAATGGCAGCCCTGGTACGTACCCGCGAAGCCAGAGTCGTCATCGGAGCTCTCCGACACGCGCACCGCCAGCTCCGTCTCCGCCGGCGTCTCCTCCGGAGTGTCGGCCGGTGTCTCGGCCGGAGTCTCCGCGGCCGTCTCCGGCGCGGCGTCGGCCGGCGCGTCGGCGCCGCCCTCGGGCGTCTCCTCGTCACCTCCCACCAGGAAGCGGACGGGTCCGCGCAGATCTGCCGAGGAGCGCGAGAGGCGGCGGCCGGACAGACCGGCCGGCGGCGCGGCGGCCGCCCGCGCCAGCGTCTCGCACGAGCGCGACTGCGCGCCGCGGCCCGGCACGGCCAGCAGCGTCGCCGCCGCCTCCCGCGAGCCGGGCCCACAGCCGGCCGCCGACGGCGCGTCCGTGACGACCAGCAGCGGCGCCCCGGCCGGCGGCGGCGGCGACGGCGGCGGGGCGGCCCGCGGCCGGGTGTAGCGGGGCTGCGCCAGGGGAGCGCTGACGACAGCCGAGCAGCAGCCGGACGC